GCTTAAAATATTTCTCAATCCCAAGAGGCAATAGTTATAGTTATGGAATTGTTTCACACAATAACGTGCCAAGCTGTTGTATGTACAGGAGTACCAATAGGAGTGGCTTAAAATATTTCTCAATTCCAAGAGGTAACAGGCCATTTCAAACACCTTGCAGGAGCCTGTGGCTGCAAGCTTTTTTAACACAGACTGTATCGAGGACATCATCGCGTTTGCGGCGCTCATTTCATATCTGGTAAAACACCTTGCAGGAGCCTGTGGCTGCAAGCTTTTTAACACAGACTGTATCGAGGACATCATCGCATTTGCGGCCCTCATTTCACATCTGGTCAGTTATTGTGGCCATTTGGTTTTACACAGGGGTGTGCAAACTCGGTCCTCAAGGGCTGATGTCCTGGCTGTTTTCCATCTCTCCCTGCTGAAACACACCTGATTCAAAGGATCAGCTCAGCAGCAAGCTCTGAAGAAGCAGGATAATAATACTGGTCATTTGAATCAGTTGTGTTGCAGCAGGGAGAGATGGAAAACAGGCAGGACATCTGCCATTGAGGACTGAGTTTAACTTCTATGTCTTGAAATGTTGAGTAAGTGGTCAGGAATTGTGGAATAATATCAAGGTGTTTGCTTCTGGTGACACCTCGTCAACTCATTCATCTATGATGAGCTTTGGTGCACAATAGCTTCATGTAATTTAAGCTTTTAATTTGTTAGCATGATTGGTTTTTTTTTATCTTTATCTTAGCCGTTTTTCCGTGGGCATTTCAGAACACCTCAGTGACTGAAAAGGAGCCCTAAGATTCAGTCCCCGCAAGATCATCTTTTTTTTTTTATCTTCACCTTAGCCGTTTTTCCGTGGGCATTTCAGAATACCTCAGTGACTTAAAAGGAGTCCTGCGATTCAGTCCCCACGAGATCATGGTCGAAACAATTTGATGAGATTCACAGTTCCCTTTTATTCAGAATTCAGAATCATCTTTATTGGCCAAGTATGTGGAACACACAAGGAATTTGTCTCCGGTAGTACAGGCTACACTAGTATCATCATAAACAAGGACATGACAACCTAACAAGCTAACCTAACAAGCAACAAAACAAACATCGGACGAGCTGGCTGCATTACTCACCCTGCATTGCAAGTAGAGGAGGCCGTGAGTTTGTCAGTAGTGTGTATCAAACTGGTACTCTTTCACATGAATCATAACTCAACAAGTAGCTCTCGCTTTGAAAAAGGTTGTTGACCCCTGTGTTACGCAATGATATGGAATATCGCAGAGCCAAACCAATAATGGAAAGCCACACTTAGCGCCACTTTACGTGAAGTATCTCATTCTCTGACACCCTCAATCTTTTTTCTATTAGCAAAACTATTAGCAAAGTGCTTTAGTTTAATTTATATCTATGTGTTTCAATCGTACACTCGCGACAGAGCATGAAAGATCAATCAAAAACTAACCAATTTGCTGAGAAGCCAGCTTTCAATTCATCCAGCTGTATTCTTCCACTTATCAAGATTTGGGCAGCAGTAACCTAAGCAGAGAAGCTCAGGCGGCCCTCCCCCTGGCCACTTCGCTAAGCTCTTCCGGGGGGATCCCGAGACATTCCGAGGCCAAGCTGACAAACATAGCTCTTTTCAAAGACAACATATCTATGGTGGGAGGCAAATGGACGATTTTATGCGAGTATAAGGCTCTCTGCTTGTTGATTTGGTAAACGGGTCTCTGCCAAGCTCGGTGTGCAGCCGCAACAGAGGGAGTGTCGTTGGAGATGTGCCTGGCAGAGTGACAATTTGGTGGCAGAAAGTCAAGTTAAACACAAGTGTCAGCTCAGGATAGACTGCCGGTGTATCACAATTTTGGTCCAGTTGGAGACAGAATACCAATACCGAGCTCTGCAGACAAGTATAATGGATGTCCGAAGCATAGGATTTCATTCGGAATTAAGTGAACGGCGTGCATCAAATCATCTGAATCATTGTAGAAATCCATTCATTAAACACATTATTATTATATTATTACTATTGGTTTGGAAAATAGATGGATTATTATTGTCATGGTTCGGTTTGGGACCAACAGGTGGCACTGTAGGGCTTCCCCTGCAGCTGCACACCTGTTGGTCATTATGTAATTAGTGCGTTAAAGGGACTCCCAGACCGAACACTCAGTGTCGGTTCATTGTTACTCTTGGCAACTGTCATGTTTGTTTGTGGCTGTTTGTTGCTCTTTGCAACTGTCATGTTTGTTTGTTGCTGTTTGTTGGCTGCTGTCATGTTTGTTTCAGTCATGTTTTGGTCATTTTTATGTTTTATCTTCAGTCATGTGTTTTGTTTGATACTTTGGACTTTGTTTGTTTTGGATTTAGTTTTCTCTATGTCTTAATACAATTCTTCAAGTATACTCTGCTCCTCCCGCCTGCCTGCTTTTTTGGGGTCCACCACCACCTCGTTATGTGACAATTACTATTCAAAGTAGTAGTAGTTGGAGTAGTAGTAGTAATATTGTTTTTTTTTTGTTGTTTATCATTGTTCTTTCGGCAAAGCTTTGGGAGCACACAAATGTTGAGATGGGACTTCACAGAACAGATGGTTTGGACCTATCCTCTTTACCCATGTCAAAAAAAAACTGTTGCCTGCACCCTTCGGTCACAACTGACGCGCACTGTTTTGAAGGAATGAGAGGAGCTATTTTGATTGGCCGTGGTTAAAGACGGCTGTGATCACCCCCACAGCGGTGTAGGACCTCTCCCTCTCAGATACACCTACCTACACTCACCTGCGAGGTTGCTCACGTCTAATTGGCCTCCATGTAGAGTAATGTCGCGTGCCACGCAGGGTGAATGCTGTTTAAAAAAAAGTCCATGGTCTCTTCAGTGTGTACTGTCGTTTTCTACAGGGCCTCCTCTTGGTGGAATATGCCATGAGCGAAACTACTCGCACTGGAAAAAAAAAGACACAAATTATTGACATTTCATGTAATTAGAATCCAATTAAAACAACCTGCCCTCCGAAGTCTTAGTCTGAGAGCAAGCAATAATAGGCATTTGTTGAAATATGAAAGCCTCTCAAAAGAAACAATGACAACATTCATGAGTATGACGATACATCAAAATATGTTGTCGTTGTAAAGAAAGCTTTCTGTTGCTGTGTATTGCGCTCTAGTTGACCATGCTCTGAGTCATGAATTTATCCAAAGTAAGGTTGGAAGAACGGTCGGTCTAGAAATAATAGGGGAAGCTCCTTTGTTGAATATTAACTGTATTCAGCGAAGTACACCCTCGTCCAAGTTAATTAAGGTTGACATTAAATGAATACAAGTGTGTTGGAGAAGGAGAGAACATTGTGGATGAATAGGACCTCTCCCTAATTGAGTTTGAGTCTGAATCCACCACTGACGGCGCCTTTGTTCTGCAAAAAAAAAATGACGTGCAACTGAAGTAAGCTCTGCGTACGTGGCTATCGACGCATGTGTCTGTTGTTGAAGTCATTCTTAGCATGAATTTTTAAAATCATTCTTGACCTATATACTAAATGGTAACATATGTCAGGAAAATCATATGTCTTTCACGAATGTAAGCGGAAATCCCCCTTCAGCAACTGTTCGGTGTGACTCCGCGACAATTAGAGTGATTGTGAAATTATTGTGACTTGTGTGCGCGTATCTCACTGAAGCTTTTAAATACTAGCCTCTCATGCAAAGCCTTTAGGATCGAGTCTGGGACTGCTGCACCTTGTGGTTGTACGTGTCATTTTTTTTTTTTTACTTCATAAAGGTCAGATTGCTTTGACGCAGTGATGAAGAATAATTGAGGTTTTGTTTGGCTCCAAGGCTCCTGAATGTTCTCGGAAAAAAACATGTTTTTGCTCTGATTATTTTCTGTTGCGTGCATAAACTCAAAATACACTTGTATGTTAAACATTAGGTTCTTGTTCATGAATAATTCCCACAGAAGTTAATCTCTGTTGAATATTAAATAGCTAATATTAATCTAAATGAAACCAACTGACATGGTCAAAAGCTTAGCGGTGTGCATATAAAACACAAACTTAATTGGAAAACAAAAAACTGAAAACATATCCACTGGCACCTCAATGTCCGAATTTAATTGGTTTTGTGACTCGAAATGTTTGCAAATCATCTTAATCCATTCCTGCCCCCGAATTATATTTACACACATGCGCGCACACACACACATATATATTAACAGTTTAATCGGTGTGTGGTTGAATATAAATACAGTATAATGAAAAAATAAGTGAAACCATAGTTCACTTTGAAAAAATAAACACACAACAAACAAAAACCAAAGTGCTGGATGTGGGGGGGGGGGGGAACAAGTGCAAATCTGTTGGAAGAGTCTCCTTTCAAAGTACCATAATCTTATTCAGATGTTTTTTTCTTTTCTTTTTTTTGTCTGTGTTTCTGTTGTTGTTTGAGAAAATGTCGGAAAACATATATACAAGGAACTTATTGTCAACATGAAAATAAATTATTTGTAAAAAAAAAAAAAAAAAAAAGTAATTATTTAAAAAAAAAAAGAACAACTCTTGACTAAAATGAGTAAAATCATTTTGAGTGTGCTTATATATGCCGAAGAAACACTTATTTGTTGTCTTCGACTTGATATTTGCGTAGCTCTTAATTGTTACCTTTGAATGATCTGACTTGAGTTTTCCACCCCCACTGTGTGTGAATAAATGTGAGACTGCATAACCTGTAAACCAGTGGCGTGCGGTGAGGTGCATGGTTGGTGAGGCACTGACTCCTTTGGTGTCAGATTTACAAATATACAAAGCAAAAAAGGGTAGCTTATTCAATAGGCTAAACATTATATTTGTGACATGCAGCTATACGGCAAGCAGCAGGAGCCAGTTGCACGTATCGACCCAGTTTGTGATGATTGCGCAATACAATGCGCATTCAGAGGTGAGGCTCTGCCTCACCTGCCTCCCCTGACCGCACGCCTCTGTGTAAACATGCCCTCCCTTTCTTCCCTTCTCATAGCCATGGCCGACTTCCATGTCCAACCAGAGCCAGTGCATGCTGAGGAGTCTGGTGTGGCCAGATTCCAGTGCCAAATCCATGGCCTACCAGAACCTGTTATTAGCTGGGAAAAAGACGGGCGTCCTGTGGACACCAAGGATAAGAGGTCTGAATTGCAATACATTATGACACCTTAGCTTTGTGTCACTTTATTGTTATTTTCAGGTAGACTGAAGAAATAAAAATTATGGAGTCACATATTCTCAATCGGTCAGGCTTCCCTTCATCTACATGAGGCATTCCCAGGCCAACTGTTAAGTCGCGGTCGGAGTCCCTACAGTGTGTATAAGGTCTGCTTTGAGGCTCCCTTTGGGTTTGACATGCCGAGAAGCCCGAACCAGGGAGGTGTCCAGGAGTCCTCTGCAACAGATACTGCAGCCAACTTAAGTGGCTCTCCCTAACGTGGAGGAATAAGCGGCTCGACTCGGAGTCCCTCCTGGATGGTTAAGAGGTTCACCTTACAATATCTCTGGGGGTGATGTCCACTGCTTGTACCCATAATCACGTTCTTTGAGTCACTACCCAGAGCTCACAACTCTTAAGTGCTCACAGGTGAGAATGGGAATGTAAGTGGGCTAGATAAATTGAGACCTTGGCTGGTTGCTTGAACTCTCTCTCGCTCTCTTTGCACCAATCCTCCTGTCAATCTCCAACATGAAACGTGAAAAAGACTCGAAGACATGTAAGCCTTCCACATGATGAAGAACCATATAAACATTCAAAAAGCGCACCATCTACAAGCGGCAGAAATGAGAGCTTTGGCCACTAAATTGGAAACTTTAGAGAATTTAGCTGAACTGAGAAACGTGGTCCTTAAAAATATTGTGAGTAATAATTTGCACCTCCGTCTATCCATCCATTATCTGTCACATTTATCCTAATTTTCTCTTTTAGGTACACGCTTCTCCCTACAGGTGTTCTGCAGATTACAGGAGTACGTGAGGAGGACAGTGGAAAGTTCTTCTGTGTGGCTCATAACAGCGCAGGAGTGAAACACAGCGCTGAGGCCCTCCTTTCTGTTTCAGGTTGTTACATTTCACAACTTTAACAGCAGCATACCACGAGCAGTCTGGTATTCTCCCTTTGAACAAACTCTTGACTAGCATCACTGTATATTAAAACTTTTGGCTCCGGATCCTTTGTTGTGCCTGTCACCATTCCGGTATACTGTACTCCCAAGATCTTCTAAACCTATTGTTTATCTGTCAGATCTTACAGATAGAGTATATTGGTTACTGGGCTACTCAGAAATCCAATTAAAGGATGCCATCCATCATCCCATTCCTATCTTCAATACCTACCTTTCTTTTTCCAGGCTCCCAGTCATCTGTTTACAAAGAACCAATGATCCTAGTTGGTCCAGAAAATCTCACTCTCACTGTTCACCAAACTGCCATTTTGGAGTGCGTGGCGACAGGATACCCTCGGCCCATTGTGTCTTGGAGCAGGCTAGGTAATGAAAAAAACATGTTGCGATTACGTCAAAGCAGTCTATTGTTTGTCTGTTTTATTTTATTTATTTATTTTTATTCTGCATGTCACACAAGTGCACACCCTATCAAATTGCCTAGTCATGCATGCTATATCAGCGTGAGAGTCTCACATGTGATGTATCCACATTAGTATTCCCACACCCACGCAGCTTTGATTTCTCTCCGGTTGTCTGATGTGTTTTCATCCATATGTTCTTGTTTCAGTGTAACATGTTTTGTATCTGTGATGCAACGGGACGACGTAAACCTTAAGGGATGATCATAAATAGGCTTTTGATAACTACATGCCTCATCTCCTCAGGAAGCTGGGAGGAAAGAGAGGAGATCCTGGAGACTAATTGCTTTGCAGGGCTGAGACATATGCAATTAGGTTCCCACCCACCCTCGGTGCACATTGTAATTCTTGACTCTAACACAAATCTGTCTTGATCAGTTTATCAATATGACATGTTTTCCTTACCTATAATCCAAACTGATTTGCTACTCGAAATATAAACGGGTGCGGGTGCCCCTTTCCTCACCGGGTGAAGCACAATCACGTTGACGTTCTAGCCTTACATAACATCTCGAGAATGCAAATGCTAGCACAATGGGATTTGTACATGCTAAATTACATCAAAGAGGCTGGAATAAGATGCATAATGAAGCTAATAGTTTCACATCACTCATTGCTTAATGCTGGAGTTTGTTTGCTACTATTCATTGTGCTCCACTACACCCTGCGAGCTCCAGCTCTTTCTTTCCTGACACTAAGTTAATTAGTTCCTGGCTGAGGGAACGGGAGAGAAAGACATTTTGCAGTCAAGGAGGCAAAAAGAATAATGGTGCTGTTGTTTAGACAAAGCTGGACTGGTGCTTTGCAGTCCAGCGGGAGGTTGTGGAAACATACAATAAACATTATAATTCCCGGCGCTGAGAAAGAGGAAAGCAATGAATAGTTTGCCCCAGCAGAGGTCATGTCACTGTTGAGGTGAGCATTTTTTTTCCCCGTCCTTTTTGATTTAGCTCCGATTTAGATGGTTGTCAAAGTTCTCAAAACCCAATAACTGAGATTATCAACATCTTTATTTCATTATTGTGCTCATTTAACGTTTGGGTGGTCAATTGCAAAATTGCATTTGCAGCGGCAAGGACATTTTGAAAATGTTAAAAAATTTCCTTGTGAGAAGTAAAACTGTGAACTTTATGAACCCTGACACAACCTGAAAATTCGCTATGCTCACTTGAATGCGCCCGCTCAGTGAGATACGGGTGACACTCACACCGAGGCACAATTAACCTGCCACGCATGTTTTCGGAATGTGGGAGGAAACTGGAGTACCCAGAGAAAACCCACGCAGGCACGGGGAGAATATGCAAACTCCATACAAGAAGGCCAGGGCTGGAATTGAACCCTGCACCTTTTGCACTTTGAGGCCTACAATTTGTGTTAACCAGTCAGACATCGTGCCACCCCATTTTTATTCTTACTATTATTATTTATTATAATTATTAGTATAATTATTATTATTATAAAGATTCTGTGTGACTTCTCTCTGAACTATATTGTTTTAGCGGCAGTCAGACAGTTAATGCACCAGTGCTTGGTCTTTTAACACATAAAACATGGACCATACAGGCTGCAGATGAATGTCTGAAAAGGGATGAAAATGTCCTTTTGCCATTGCCTCATTGCTAGTGTCAATGCCGAGCATTATAATGTTTATTGTATGTTTCCACAATCTCCCGCTGGACAAGTCATTGCTGGCATTGGGACGACAGGAAGCAGAGGAAAGGGTGGGGAAAGCAGTATATTCGGAGCAAAGGTATGGGTTTAGAAGTTAGTAGGTGATGTCAGCACTGGAGCTAAAATCTGTACATCTATACATTGCAAGCGATTATCTTATTATATAACCTTGTGTAAGTGTTTTTTTTTTCTTTATGGAAGGTTTAATGCCGACATGAAAGCAGCAAACAATTACATTCTAATAAAAACCATGACAGCATCCATCCATCCATCTTCCAATCCGATTTATCCCTCTCACGGGGGGTGCTGAAGCCTATCACAGTCATCTTCGGGCAGTAGGCGGGGGACACCCTGAGCCAATCGCAGGGCACACAGAGACGAACAACCATCCGCGCTCACATTCACACCCAGGGACAATTTAGAGTGTTCAGTCAGCCTGCCATGCATGTTTTTGGAATGTGGGAGGAAACCGGAGTACCCGGAGAAAACCCACGCAGGCACGGGGAAAATATGCAAATTCCACACAGGAAGGCCGGAACCGGGATTGAACCCACGACATCTGCACTATGAGGTCCATGCGCTAACCACTAGGCCAGGGGTGCCCAAACTTTTTGGACCGAAGATCTACTTTTCGATCAACTAACCTACTAACCTAACCTACTCTTACCGGCACGCGCACACGCACACGCACACGCACACACATACGCACGCACGCCATGATGAGAAACAGCCTGAAACTGAGGCATGCAATGCACTTTTGCAGCTTGTTAACTATCGTAGCTCACACGTACCGTTTTAAAGTGCTTCCCTGGGCCCTCCTAGATTCCTATTCTTTGCCCGTGCCCTCGGTGAATTGTACACGAAACAAAATCTGAATGAGAATTATGATAAAAGATAGAGCACAGCAGCTCTGATGACAAGCTGCAATTGCAGACTTCTGAGCGCTAACAACTTCCGGTGAGATAATCACGCGCCCCCGCATCTTCAAGAATTACCTGCTTTATTTTATTTTTTAAATATTTTTTGGTGAAAATGAGACTGATAGGATGATTAGGGTGCAGCGTACATTAACACAAAAAAATATATTACTAACATGTACAAAGACACACAAATGTTTTTTTTTTTTTCTCCTCGACACACCTCGGATCTACTTGGGACCTGTCTTAGATCTACCGGTAGATCAGGATCGACGTAATGGGCACCCCTCACTAGGCCCACCGGGCCCCCCGCTATGACAACATATCAAATGAAAATTGAACTAATTGAATAACATTTGAAAACATGACTTCTCACAGGAATGTACTCGTTTTAGCATATCCAAAATCAAGGATTTATAGGAAGCGGATGTGAGTGTTTGATTATTATCTCTATCGCAGCGACCTCCGCATCTATCTTATCAGCACCATATGTTCTCAAGTACTGTACACTCAAAGAAGCACTGCCAGAACTGCCGGTTGCATCCTTGAATTTAATAGCACATCGACCGAGACACAAATTGCTGAAGGTTTGTCCTCGCATAAGTGAAGAGCACTCAGAGGGTGCAGACATTCAGAACATTAAAAATGCAGATTCTTGTTGAAAGTCTTATCCTGAATGTCCATGTTGAATTGAAATACACAAAAAAAAAAAAAAATCAGATTTGACTGCGATAACTCAATAAATTAATACTTAATATTAATACAAAATTTTCTAAATTTTGTATTAATATAAAAAACAATGTATTCTCACCTATTCTTAAATTGTATTTGCAAGCCATGTTCTCTCTAACTTTCCATTTGGCTGAGCATTCTCATGGACGACAGTGTGCAACATCAGACAGCTCAACTAGTATCACACCTGTCCAAAATCTGAGATCACAACACATTCCATGATGTATGTAGGTATGTTACAAAAAAAGTGTGAGCACCTATATATCGTAATACAGCATATCCATGAATGGATATTTCTGACAAGAATAAAATTAGCCTGAGTTTATATTTTGTAAGGATTAGTTAAGGAAGGAGGATTTTATGCCACTTTTGTGCCCAAATTGACTTGTCCAGAAATCAATGTAAAGTAAATTTAAAATAAAGAAATGTGTGATCATTCAAATCGTTGATATATTTTGGCTTCAATATTTGCCATCTTACTTATCAAAAGAGATTTTTAATGGAGAGTGACATGAGTGATGCTTTTCATTACAATACGAGAGTATAACAGTGGCTAAAAAGATCAACGAAATGTTGAATGTTGAATTGAATTGATTTTGACTTTTATTTGGTCTTCAGTAGGAGAAACTTGTCTCGGAGGACAGGCCCTCTGTGCTGCTACATACAGTGAACAAAAACATACATATACACTACACAACATAAATTGGACAATTACATACGATACAAGACAATATAAACTCCACACACATTGGACACTGCATTACAGTCAGATGCACCCCTCCCACCCAATGCCCTCATGTCCTCTCGCTTGTCTGTTATTACTCATTACAGCTAAGTGTTTAGATGCTTCACTTGTTACATAAGGATTTTAGGGATCTCGGATCAATATTCTAAAAATTCATACTTTTTAAATGATCCATCCATTTTCAACAACGCTTATCCTGAAGAGGTTCACGGGAATTGCTGGAGCCTATTCCAACCGTCTTCGGGCAGTAGGCGGGGGACACCCTGACCCGGTCGCCAGCCAATTGCAGGGCACACAGAGACAAAAATCAGCCTGCCATGCATGTTTTTGGAATGTGGAAGAAAACCGGAGTACCCGGAGAAAACCCACGCAGGCACAAGGAGAATATGCAAATTCCACACAGGAAGGCCGGAACCGGGATCGAACACACAACTTCTGCACTATGAGGTCCACGCGCTAACCACTGGGCCCACCGGGCTGCCCGCTATGACAACATATCAAATGAAAATTTGAAAATGTCCAGAACTCATGTGAATTGCATGACACATGACCATCCACACGACATATATAAGTTGCAGTGATATGCTTCGATTGTGCAGAGACATTTTGTAAGTCAGCATCAAAGATCCTTTCCCCCGATCGTTCACGAGCGATTTGGTGAGGTGACGAGTGGACAACGTGAATTACTGGATAACCCCACATCAACTTGTTGGGCGGAGAGCAATGGTCTTGTGTGACAGTGATGACACTGCATGTGTGCATGCCTTGCATTTCAGTCTTCTTTTTTTAACATATGAGGAGCATATGAAAATCCAAAATGCAAATACAGCTCAGGTGGGATTTTTTAATTATTTATTTGTTTGTTTATTTTTAATTCGCTGCTTACATTTGTTGTGCACTGAGAGGGTGAGAGAAGTGCGCAATTGCTTATATATGCACTTGCGGGGATTAGGTTCTAAATTTAACCCGCAATAGGCGAAATCCGCAAAGCAGGCAACATATTTTTTTTTACAATTATTATACTACTGTATATTTTTTAAGGCTGTGAGCCTCACCATGAACATTTTCTCACATTTCGCTCTTGTTTAAACATGTGCAAGTCCAAGCCTTTGCAAGAAAAATAAGTATACAGTATTATTATTGATTATTGTACAGGAGACAGGTCATGGAGTAGGTGGTTTAAAATTGGTCTGCGGTAACTGGGTCAATACGATGCACGGTTTGGAAGATGTCAAAAACAGCATGCAAAATAACACTTTAAAAAAATCTGCGATATAGCGAGTCAGCGAAAGGTGAACCGCAATATAACGAGGGACCAAATTGAACATCTAAGGTTGCTCACACAGCAGCATAACGCATGCTGATTAAATCAAAGCGGTTGTGGCATAAGCAGTCGACACACCTCGTTCTGTAGTACTTCTAGTACTTCTCTTCTCGACTGATACTTATGTTGTCGTCTTCTCAAATGCCTGATTGCTCTCCTTTTTCCTTTTTAAGATGGGCGTCCCATCGGCGTGGAGGGTATCCAAGTACTTGGCACTGGGAACTTGATGATTTCCAACGTTGGCGTGCAGCACTCAGGAGTTTACGTGTGCGCTGCTAACAAACCAGGGACCCGTGTTCGCAGAACTGCTCAGGGACGTTTAGTGGTTCAAGGTGAGTCCTGGAGGACAGGAATGTCCCATTCTCAAATTTGTCTGCATACTGCATCACTCGTATATGCCTCAGGAACAGCAAAACATTATTTTTACTGCACTTATAGTGTGCTTATTCTTGACCACATGGATGATAAACTGTCATTTCATTTCCCTTTTATTGTCCCACTAAATACACTTAAGCCAAATAAAGTGCATGAAATTAGGGCCCCATGTCTAGAATACTTCATGGAAAACATATAGGGTGTATTTTATATCGAGAGTGTTTATTTTTTTCACAATGAATTTCAATGGGCATCATTTATACGCTCTTTGCGGGCCGGCCGACTTATAGTGTGCTTATTCTTGACCACATGGATGATGAACTGTCGTTTCATTTCCCTTTTCTTCCCCCACTAAATACACCTAAGAAAAAATAAAGTGCATGAAATAAGGGCCCCATGTCTAGAACAGGTCATGGAAAACATATAGGGTGTATTTTATATCGAGAGTGTTTATTTTTTTCCCCAATGAATTTCAATGGGCATCATTTATACTATTTATCTTCGTGGGCCGGCCAGGTCCCTACACCTCGACTGTACAACATGTTGTTGGATGCAGCGGAACCAAAAGCGTGATCTATTTTTGGTATCAGAGTCATTTGGAGAACTTTGGGACACAAAGACATCGGTATGATCGATCTTAGTAGACTTGCAGTTATGCTCATAAGTCATCCTGAACACCTGTTCAGGCTGCAATTCTTTATTTTCTCAACTCATCATTTGCATTTGATACAGCAAGTTGACACGTTGACGTGATTAGAGATAAGTGTGGTTTTAACGAATAAGATGAGGACAAATGTGTACATACTTGTGTATGACATCTCCCCAAGCAGGAAACATCTTTCATTCACTCTGGTCTGACATTGATTAAACCGGACCACACTTTACTTTAGTCGTATTGATCCTGGTCAATCCTTCATTTTATCTTCCTGTCAAGTCAAACACGAGCATCTAATCCTTACAGGGGGAAAACAGATGTTAATTAGGTGCCACTGTCTGTGTTTTTGCGATTGATTTTCGTGCAGAAAAGATGGCTTGTGAAGTCTGAATATATGTACGTTCGGAATATGGTTTAAGAACAGGTTGTGGTAACGTTATATACTCAAATGGCCATTTAAACCTGCTCACACAAGCCACAAAACCCTTTTGATATCAAAAGTTAGAATAATTACAGAATAATGCAACTGCCAATGTGTAGAAAATATTTTTGACTGGTAGGTATGTTTGAATGTATTTAATTACATTTGAACAAACGTATTTGTCGGCTAAATGCCACAAACGTAAATACTCAAATGGCCATTTAAACCTGCTCACACAAGCCACAAAACCCTTTTGATATCAAAAGTTAGGATAATTACGGAATAATGCAACTGCCAATGTGTAGAAAACATTTTTGACTGGTAGGTACGTTTGAATGTATTTAATTACATTTGAACAAACATATTTGAAGGCTAAATGCCATAAACTTAGTTCCAAAAACATGCATGGCAGGTGAATGGAACAGTCTAAATTGTCCCAAGGTGTGAGTATGAGCACACATGGTTGTTTGTCTATGTGTGCCCTGCGATTGGCTGGCAACCAGTTGCAGGCTGGGCCCTGCCTACTGCCCGAAGACAGCTGAGATAGGCTCCAGCACGATCCGCGAAGTCTATGAGGATAAGTGGATTAGAAAATGGATGGATAAACCAATACATTCAAAAGTTAAACAAGTAAACATTGTTTATTCATGATTTTTAGCATTTTATTTTTATATCTGCAATGCATGATTTGCCATGGGCTATTGACTTGTAGAGGGACTGGGCTGGCCTGAAGTAATGACAGAAGGATGACTATCGGCCTGACGTGCCGGCCTCTGAATTTAATTAGGTGCATGTATGTCACTGATCCTAGATTAATGTGCATGTTGAGGGGCCATCCTGCAGGGTTAGATGGGCCATAAACTTCGAGAAAGGCTCATCCTCACCTCACCCCACACCGCCCTCCGGTCGCCGAAAATGTCTCTAGTCATGTGTAACGGATGTCAGTGCATCGCGCTCCCAAACTGGAGGTCCGGCGTCGATCCCCGAGTTGGATGGATGCCACAACAGTAAAAACAGCACTGCATGATGACGGAATGTGCACCCTGATATTTTTGTTTGTTTGTTTTTTGTATTTTTTTAATGAGAGATCATTAACTTTGTTGTGGAATGATTCTCATAGAGAGAGAAAGACAGACAGACAGACAGCAATCGAGCGAGCCAAGCGTGTGCCGTAGGGCTGTCACGATCTAATAATTTTAGAATTGATATTCCTAACGACTCTTCTATCGAATAATCGAGTGATATCAAGACATACAAAAAGATCCACACAAAGGCAGTCCGGGTGTTAACACATCTTTAGGAAGAAAATAAATAAAAAAGATCTAGCCTGGGACTGGGAGTGGTGCGTTGGCACTTGCTTACCTACCGCAAGTGCGCCGATGGCCCGTTGCTGGAACCAAGGACCGTTTCATTGTGCTGGCATGTCCATCCACTCGTTTTTTTTTTGTTTTTTTTTTAATTAAACAATATTAATAAAGGGCTTCACAAACCTCCTCAGTCAGTATTGAGGCTGTGGCAATGGTTTCAGTATGATAAATCACCACGAGATGGCAGTCACATGTTTTGATCAGATCTTGTTCGCACACACTATCAATGGGTGTTGGTTGTGGTATGGCGATCCTATGTCGCGCGGTGATGTGCGGAAGCAGTGTGGTGTTGAGAACTAGTGCTGTCAAGAGATTCAAAAAAATGTGAGATGAATTCATTATGATCTGTAATTAATTGATCTAATTAATTTATATTTTAATCTAATATAAAAATTGAAAACCCCTATTTCCATTTTAAATCCATTACTCAAAAGATTGACATCACAAAAAAAAAGCGGCATTATAAAGTCTTTTATTGTTTTTAAACAGACTTGAACAGATACAGTCATTTACTTTCTGCAATATTTGAGACTAGTCCCAAGTCCAACCTGCAACCTTTAGTTTCGACCACCAGGGGGAATATCACTGTTGTTTTTTTTTTTTTGTTGTTTTTGTTTTGGGGTTTTTTTTTTTTTTTTGCAAATCTCCAAATAATTACAAAATAAAAATAAAATAGAACATCAGTTTGATAAAAAGTGCTTCGTTGAACATATCAAAAACAGTAAGAAATTTTTTCTGAGCAATACAAGTACTGAACACTTGCTTCAGATAATAAAGAATAAAACAGACCCATAAATCACAGTGCTGTAAGTTAGCACTTCAGAAATAACACTGTTCATCATTACAAAATAAAGGTCTGAAATAAACATCAATCACTTCTCATAGGCTACAGAGGACACAGCAGCTATTCTGACTTCATGCCTCGTACGCCGGGGGTTCTCCTCGAGTTTAGTTTGTCGAAGAGCTTTGCTATGATTGGCTCTATTGCTAACACTTTCGGTGCTAATGTTAGCTGTGGCTGTACTCACGACTGGGTGCTTTGCATTGATGTGGTAGGCTAAACTTGAGCTGCTTCGGTGGTAAAACTCCTTCTTACAAACCAGGCACAACACTCTACCTCTATCAATAGTGCCGTCAGGGCCTTTTTGGAATGACATTTTCCATTCATTGGCCCGAGAACTCTCACACGCTCCTCCATTTTCTCACCGCTGCTTATCTCACCCACCCAACTCCAATGGGAGCCTATCAGCTTCTGTGAAACAAGCCCAAACATAATGACAGCCAATCAATGTCAGCTTCAGGCTGTGACTGACAGTTGTTTCCCCATCCTCAACAACTCGAACATAGGAAGGCCACACATAAAAAGGGATATTATAAAAAGGCAACCCACCTAGAGAAACAATACAGTTAGAGATTAAAATTTAGATTAACATACAGAAACAATAAAGTTAGAGATTAAAATTTAGATTTACATGATTAAAAAAACATAATGCGCTAAATATGACTGCAATTAATTATTTGCAATTAACGCGATAATTTTACACCTCTATTGAGAACATGGATAAATACCGGCAGCTAACTCTACAACAGAGCTTTTTCAAAGATTACAATTGTCACATTGTCACCTTTGATGAACAGATGCACACATGGAAACAGGCACACAAACACACACGCACACACAAAGTTCAACGTTCATGAAAATTTCATGCATGGGTCATGCATCAATGCAGTGTTTATCTTGCAATAAACTGTTATTTTGCAATCAAAGTGACATTTTTTGTTTTGTTTATGTTATTATTTAGTAGGAAAGCATTGTTTAGATATTTGAGGTATCACAATTGCAAAAAAAATAAAAATCATGGAAACAGGCACACAAACACACACGCACACACACAGTTCAACGTTCATGAAAATTTCATGCATAGGTCATGCATCAATGCAGTGTTTATCTTGCAAAGTGAAAGTTCTGCTTGAAATGCATCCTTTCACAAAAAGTTTTTATTCAGAATTTTTCTTGGAAACAAATACTTTGAAGAAACTTACCAATGTTCAACTGCTGCTTCCCAAAGAATGGTAAAAGGTAGAAACGTACTTTGTTTCCTCATGAAAGAAGATGGTTAAAGCTTTCTTTTGGTAGGTTGCGTAAATAGGTAGAGAACTCCATTTTCTGTAGGCCTTCAAAAATTTGTCAAAATGGTCAAAAGTGGCTGGCACCGGCTCTCCAAATCTGAGAAAAACGGCTGGCATTAAATCAGTTTAAGAGTGCGACTCAACTCACTGTAATCATGGACCTGCATCACATTTGCCTGCTATTTATTTTAGTTTATTCTCGATTGCACTCCTTTTCAGAAAATGTTTTGCATATTTCAGTTGTTTCGTTTTACCTACCCCCCTAGAAATTAAATAAAACATTTAATTGAGTTGTGCAGGCTTTAGGTCACATTAATAAAGAAAAAAAAGTTTTGTATTGGTTTATTTTGCTCACAATTGTTTATATCACAAAAACCTGGCATTTAGACCGGGGTCTGTAATCTTTATACATCCACTGTCCAGTATATCCATCCAGCCATCGTACATGTCCTCTTTATCATCCTTGACTAGTCGCCAGTCAAACTTAGGGCACACGCTGTATACTCAAAGAATTATTGACACTCACATTCACATTTCTGGAAATTTAAAGTTGACAATAATTTTGCAATGTGCAAGGTGCATGGGGAGTGTGGGAAGATAATGCTAATTCCACAAAGGAGTATTAAAACTTGCGCGATTTAATATATAATTTATAATATTATGGGAATCAAGTCAGAAATAATGGTCAGTAACCTGCAACTCCAAGCAACTAAACTTGCGGTGAATTTGTGAGGGTAATTTTTGGTTGTTTGGAGTACAAAGAGAGACAGGGAAAGCACAGGCAGAAGAAAGAATTGAAGCACAAGAGCTACAGGAGAAGGCAAGGCCACGATGGATGGATGTTGTTGATTATATAATGTGTCCAGGTACAAATCAATATCCTCTTGAGTTCCACCTGACCATCACCCTTGAAACAGGACTCACAGTTCATGCTGTGATACACAGTGATAGAAGGAGAATGAAGGGAGAAAAGACAGCAAGCTAATGAAAGGCCACAACAAATGCTGTCAACAAGCATCCCATTCAAGTGCCCAAAGAAATGGAAATTGTGACACATTTGTCTGTTGGGCTGAAATGAAGTGTTGATTCATATGAGTCACTCATGACATTAAACTCATTGCACTATACCTTTACCTTGTATATCATTGATACTGATTACATGTATGCTATACACAGAGAGAGAGAGAGAGAGAGAGAGAGAGAGAGAGAGAGAGAGAGAGAGAGAGAGAGAGAGAGAGAGAGATATTGTCGACACTGTGGAAGTGTTGAAAACATCCATTCATCAATTTTCTGATCCGCTTATCCACCCAAGGGTCGTGGGGAGTGCTGGGGCCTATCTCAGCCGTCTTTGGGCAATAGGCGGGGGACACCCTTAACCGTTTGCCCGCCAGTCGCAGGGCACACACAGACAAACAACCATCCATGCTCACACTCACACCGTGGGAAAATTTAGACTAGTGTTCCACTAACCTGCCATGTCTGTTCTTGAAATGTGGGGGGAAACCGGAGTACCCGGAGAAAACCCACGCAGGTGTGGGGAGAAAATGCAAACTCCACACAGGGAAGCCGGAGCCGGAATCGAACCCTGCACTGCCGTACTTTGTCTGGTTCCTCAACTAGCATCTTTTTGTTATGGGTGACCCTGCCAGAAGCATAAATGCCCAGACAGCTCCAAGAATCACTGGGACACACAGACCCCTCAACTACAAGGAGGTGGTGGCTCAGGGAGAGGATCGTATATGATACTTTTCTAACAAGTGTTCATAAGAAATATTTTCCTTGCCAACACCTGCATATACCCAGGTCCCGTTAGGTGATCATGAGGCATTATGTTCTGCACCTTTCTACCCTCTGGTGTTGATGGTGAGATGTCATCAAAACACGCTTTATTAAAAGCATAGCCATAAATAATTCAGCGCAATAGTTAAAATCACCATTCTAATTAAAGCGGCAACCAAAATGAAACCGAAGCAGATGTAGCTGTAATTAATTACTGTGATTAAAGTCTCCATAAAATCTCCTCCTAGCTCCATATGAACAAGTTATCACCTCTAATTGACCATTGGTGTTTGCCTGTAGTATCGGACGAGATTGAGTATGTTGAAGTTGCAGTTTAGCGTTAAAGTGTTTTAAAGCACATTAGGGCTGACAAATGTTCTCTTGCTTGCACTCTGTGTGTCTGTTTTTTCTTCATTTTGCATCTCATAATTATGCTGACACCATATTACAACTGTAAAACAACATTTGGACCAAAGTGTGGAGCTTCTTTGTGTTAACAACAAGTAGTTTCTGAGATTGACACAGAAGTATGTCATAGTGTTCAGCTATTACATTCTTTTGCTTTATTGAGTAGTGTCCTTTGCTGATGCACTCTTATGATTGACATTTGCATTTGTTTTCAGCTCCTGCAGAGTTTAGTCAACCTCCGCAGTCGATTGCCCGACCTGTGGGGACCACCGCTATCTTCACCTGCCAAGCTCAGGGGGAGCCTGAGCCCCAGCTTACCTGGCTGAAGAACGGTCAGGTCTTGGAGCCTGATGGCCACATCAAACTCAGGAATAACAACAGGTTAAGTAACAAAAATCTTGTCAAGAAATTAATAAAACACAAAAACACTTGTCTTATCTCACATTAAAAAAAATGCCTCAAAATATGACAAGCTTGCATGTTGCATTTTAGATTTGGGATACTGCTCCGCAGGAGATTGTATTTCATCTGTGTGGGTTAGTTTTTATGCAACCTCCTGGGAAGGTATTCTTCCACGAGTTACACTTAACACTTTGGCAATAGTCCACACATTGACATTGTCATAAAATGGAACGCTGATAAACACAAACCAAAATGGTAAAAAAGAATAAGAAAAAAAATGAATAAGGAGAACCATCTCGTCTATCTATCTATCTATCTATCTATCTATCTACTTGATTAAATCAACCTCTTAATAATGCCATAATGTCAAAATATGTATAACTTATCTTAACTTATCTCAAGGGACATAATAAATCTGTACGTTATGACGGATGTTCCTTGTAACCATTTCCAATAAAATGGCCGCCAACTAGTATGTATAATACAGTATGAACATTTAAGGTTATGGGATGAAAATGTTGAAACGAAGTTCGACTGTATAACTATGGCTATGTTCACACACTGCAGAGCATTTAATGTTCCTAAAAACACCTTTGTAGATTCACAGACAATTGTTTTTATAGTCTCCCTCCAAGCACTCTGACCTGCACGCATCAATAGGAAAGAGGCCCATGTGTGCCATTTAAGAGCATTTCATGTATTTGAGGGTTTTTAAAAAAAAAAAAAAATGTGACCTTTATCTTCCAATACAACACCACAAGATCTCCAAACCTCTCCGGTACAATAGAGTACTTTGCAATCAATTTTTCTCAATATGAAAACTTAAAATAAATAAATAACATCATACTCACCAGAGATGCGAATGCAGAAGCTCCTACCTGTCGGTGTAGACTTAGACTAAGTTGCTCTCTCATACCTAACTACTCTGATACTCACACACACACACACACACACACACACACACACACACACACACACAATAGAGCAGGGGGATCCGACCTTTATTGAACAAAGATCTACTACGATCAACCAACCTCCCGCGATCGACCTGTTACTGCGCACGCACTTAGAGACGGATGGCCTGATGAGCAACGGCCATAACTAAGATGAACGAAACAGAAAAATAAAGTAGATACAAGAGTTTGTGAAAAGCAAATCACTGCCCACCTTCAACGAGGGCAGGCATGCGACGCACTTTTGTGGCGTGTTAATGACCGTAGCTCACGTGTACTGTTTTAAAATGCTTCCCCCGGTACTCCAGATTCCCATTTTTTGCCCGTGCCCTCGGTGAATTGTACACGAAACAACCTCTGAATGAGAATAATAATAACAATTAAAGATACAGCGCAACAGCTCTGATCGCAAGCTGCAATTGCAGACTGCTAAGCGCGAACAATTTCCGGTGAAGCGGGTGACGGGCCACCCTAGGTTTAAGGTGACCTGCTTTTTTTATTTTATCTTATTTTATTTTTTAAATACTTTTTGTGAAAGTGAGACTGATAGGATGCTAAGGGTGCAGTGCACTAACACAAAAATATATCATTTTAATAAGACGCACACAGACAAACTAATGTTTTGGGTTGTTTTGATTTTTTTCCCTCTCCAACCCTCGCGATCGACTTGGGACCAATCGACGTATTGGTTCCCCTGATTTAGAGGCTGGATAACACTTTTTATATGCGTACAGTTCCTAATGATGCAATTAAATAACGTTTGGGACATTGAAGAATACTATTTCGCCTTGCCTGGTTGTGAGAAATTCCTTTGGGTGGCATTTCTCCATCAGCGTGGTCATTTTTACGCCGCCTTAACGCATGTCTTTGTGTGCGTAAACCATATTGGATGCTTTCCCATGGCGGTCCCCATGAGTGCAATGAGTTTTGTCTGAGCATGGTTTCACACGATAAAGTCCACGTGCAGCAAAGACTGTTTTATTGGCTTCTGAGATGTGGCATTGCAAATGCATCTCAAAGTTAATTTAGATGATTAATTGTACATTGCACCAGCTTGTACCCACCTACTTTTGATTGCCATGTATTTGCACGAACTGTGGCAGCGCGCTGGTATAGCTTGTGGTGAACAGTTAGCGGCAGAGAGGTTTTGGTTTGATTCTCTGCTTGCGTAGTTTGTGTGTTGTGTGCTTGCCTCTGTTATATCAAAGATATAAGGCTTCCTCCGAAATCCCAAGGTTAGCTCATAACAGTAATGCAGCAGTTATGAAGACTCTGAATTGCCCATAAGTGTCAATTTGAGTGCGAGTGGTCATTTGTAGGTACATGCAACCAGTAATCACACTCTTATTCAAAGTCAACGAGGATGCAGCTCGCCCGTGATCATGAAGAGGATAAGCAATAGACCAGGGGTGTCAAATTCATTTCTGTCGCGGGCCACATTACAATAACCGTTTGCCCTGGAGGGCCGTGATGACTGAAACTGTATAAAGAAGTCAAGAATAACATTTTATTCAACTATTGTTTCAGTAACTGGAATTAGGGGTTTGGTAACAAGAAAATGCTTACAATATGTCACTGATTTATTACGTAGGAAAATGTGAATTTTGCGACAGATTTTAGCAGGCATCATGGAAGTTGTCATCTTTGATTTGTTTTTGCGGCCCACTTAAAATGATGTGGCAGGCCACATCAGGCCCCCGGGCCTTGAGTTTGACACCTGTGCAATAGACAATAAATGAATGCATGAGATGTAATAATATTGGCTTCATTCCAAGTGGAATGCAGAAGAAATAATAAATAAAAGGGACTATTGATCATGATGAAGTGTATGTGTGTTATCACAAAATGAAAACATACCGTAACTACTGTAAACACCGCTAAACAGATCCAGCACATTTACTTTTCTGTACGCTCTGACACTACATGACTCCACGCAGGGTTAAATTTTTCTTGTTGGAGCATGCGAGGATCCTACCACTATTCATCGTTTTATCATTCATATGTAAAAAGTGGGAAGTAAGTGTATTGCCTATGCATGAAAACGATCAATAGCTGCTGTGTAGTACGGCAAGTACATTGAGCAGACACCACCACCAC